AGGAATTCAGGAAGGCAAGGAACTGAATTGTGATCCAAGATCTTTTTAAACCACCATGAATGAATACTCCATTTTTCTTAACTTGGTTTTTTCTACCATAGGTCTCAACAAGTGACAGCATATTACATCAGACAGTGACGAGTCCTGCTGCTCCCTAACAGTGTCTGACAGACCACTGTGGATTCAGATTGAGGGTATTGAAGTTAACAGTGAAATTGGCAGGTCTGTCTGTTTTAAGCCCAGCCTAAAATGAAGAGGGGCATTATGTCATCAAGCAATCATTCCCAAAGGAGGTTAGGTTAGAGCTGATAAATTAGCAATTACTTTATTTCCTGCTTTCATTTCAACTTTGTGCACCTGTACCTCAGCGTACATTTTAGTTGTGTTCCTCAACCCTAATCTGCTAATAAGGTTTACATGCATTTTCTTGAATAAATTAAAACTCACTTTTTTTGAGATTGGCTTTTGAAATGTTGTGCTATACAAGCACATTAAATAATGACAGAGGCCCTAATAAAGGTCAAAGTGTATTGGGGGGTGACGGTTGTAGCCGTGTTGGTCTAAGGACATAGGCAGACAAGGTTCCTTGGGTGAATTTGATATCTTTTATTAGACCAACCCAAATATTCTAAGCTAGATAGTCTCAAACTTTTCATTGGGTGAACCACGTCTTAATAGAAATTACCTGTGGACAGCTACCTTTCCAATTTAACTACATGGAATCTTCCCTCGGCCACTGGTACCTGCAACTAAGTAGCCAGAAATGAGGAGAATTAAAACCATGTGACCAGCTAGGTCTCAGCAGGCCACCAAAAAGTGGTCCACGGACCACAGTTTGGAAACCACTTCTCTAAGAAAATGGTTGTTACTTTAAAGATTGAGTATTTTTTTAATTCCTAGGATCTTAATCTTTGAAAGAGTCAAGCTAGCATGCAAGGCATGTGCTTAAATCCAATTGAAGCTTAATCTAAGCAAGTGCTTAACTATTTCCTTTAATTAGGGTTTAAATTGGTATTCATACCTTCTGTTTGATAGAGGAGCATGCACATTTGATTTATTTTTTCTATGCATTTTTAAGGTAGGGTTGAAAATCTTTGGCTTGTATGTACAGGGCTTATTTTGTCATAAGGAGAAAAAAAAAGATTCTGGTTCTGTCCTTGGCCTGTAGACTTGAAGTAGCTTGATCCAGTATTATTCCATTGTACTAGGTCTAGCAAATTGGATATGCTTTGGTAATTTATAATATAAGAAGTATGTGCTGTGTGCTGGTTCTACAGAAGATTTTGGACCATCCCCAAGGATGCAAGACAACTGATAGTTTGTGGGTTGCTGGAGATGGCATGTCAGCTCTGACAAAAGAAGATTCCCACTCTTTAGTGAGGGTGTTCTGAGTCCTGCATTGGTGAGCCCCAAAGAATTAGGAAGATGCTGTGTTAGCTGACTTGCATTGTAGAATAAGCTCCATGTATTTCTGATTAACTGAAGGCAAGTTCTTGTGAATGTATCACCTGGGAAGCTGGAAAGTCATGTGCAAAAGGTAAAATGCTTGTTTAAGGTTCAAAATGCTGTGTGTTTATCATGGTTTTATGTGCAGCACATGGCCTTAAACTTCAATTACAATTACTAGTTGCATTAAAAGCCGGTAGAAGACCATATGGTCTATTAACACCATCTGCCCACTACTTACTTTAGGCAAACAAAATGTTAGTGTACAGCATAGAAACTGGGGACCTAATTCTGCCATTGTTATTCCTGTGCAGTGCTCCTGAAGTTAACTGAGTGAGAGCAGTTGTGTTAGTGAGGTTTGAATTTGGAACTTGAACTTTTTAGTTGCTTGTTGTATGCTCAATTGACAGAAACATGGCCCTCGCCAAACTTAGATGTTTGCACATCTTGGATAAAACTTTAATATTGCCCTATAGAATTTTTTATATTTGTGACAAGATTTTTGTCCCTGTAGCACACATAATATGGAATATTCCATCAGGAAGAGTTTCTGTACACGGTGATGCTTTTGTTATCCCAGGCTTTCTTTTACAGGCCTCCATGCTGTCAAAGCCCAGCCAGCCACCAAAGTGCAAAGCCAGTATTGGGTGTTAAGCAACCTGCCACATTTTGGGGATATTGTAGTCTATTTCAGCATTTTGGGGAAGCAAATATATTTCTTTTTCTTCAAACTTTGTGCACAGTATTCAGCCTAGTGACCTCCACCAACAGTAAATGTTATTTCATTGGAACTGCAAAGTACATTTTGCAGAAATCAGCACTTTGCTCCCTATCTGTAGATTTGGCATCCTTTTCTTTGTAGAGGTTTTGCACATTCAGCTCATTCATCTTGAATGAGCACATAGTTAGAAATGGCCGCAGTCTTCCTGCAAGAAGACTGAGACTACCAACACAGCTGAGGCGATATTAAGGGTTAACTGATCCTACACATGATTTTTAGCCAGAATGCCAAGATACAGCATATATCTGCAAAGAAATTCTGCAACCTGTGTCCTCTCCTTTGGATCTGAACCTTCCCAAATTCCTACTCTCTCAGCTCCTTCTATTGCAGGGTGTAGGACAGAATGAACGGTTTTGTCAATGTTTCATGTTGTTTCATGGCACAATAAGCAACTTCAAATTGAGAAATTCCTCAGTATACACCCCTTGCCCCCTCCTGTGTCAGGATCATTGTCCTTTTGTTTTTCATCTTTCCTTTCCCATCCCACCCCCTATGTATCTAGTGATTTATCAGGCTCCCCTCCCCCACTGTTAACTTTTAAGCCCATTCCTCTGTCTTCTCTGAAGAGTTGCATCTTTTTAGCCAGAGCCTCAGGATTTAGGCCCCCCCATGGTCTTTTCTGTTAATCAGGTGGTATTGTTTAAGGCATTCCTTTTGGAGGTAGTGGGAAATGTATATAAAGCAATTCTCAAAGTCCAAGGGAGCTCCTGCAAGATCATAAAGATAAATCAGTAAAACTGAGCTGGTTTTGTTGGACCCTCCCTCCTCCTCTTTGCATCTCTTGGCAGATCAATCCATGATACACCACTGTAACTTTCTGAATAATAAGCTACTGTTGGTGGCTTTGTAGAAGAACTGTTTATTACCTGGACTCTTCCTATCTGCTTGCCATTCTCTTATTAGTATCATTTGAGGCAAACACAGATAATAAGCCAAGCAGTTACTGAAAGGAAATACATTAGCAGCTTTCTTTTTGCTGTTCCATTGTTCTCTGTAGCTGTAGCATATATTCAAAGTACAAGCTGTGTTGGTACTTTTAGTTATCAGTGTGTTTATACATAGTTATAGAGGTTTTGCATATTAATCATTCCTATTTAACTACCTCTGGAAATGTAAATTAACTTTTGGTGCTGCAATTCGGTGAGATTTAAAATGAGGCCAGGAAGGCAGGTTCTGCTTTAACTCCAAGCTGTAAGGGACTTGTTCAGTTTAATATGCCTTATAACAATGTTAAAGTTGTTTTCACCTTCTCATGTGTAGAATAGATCAAATTTAGCAGGTGAACTGACAACTGTTTTGGCCAGCTCACAATTTGTTTGCTGGTTCTTGCAGTACCAGCGAAGACGTTTAACAGTTTTTCCTTTCTCTTCCCTTTTCAGCTCAGAGGCATTAGCCAACTGCTGTTCTTATGGAACCTCATTACACTGCCACGAAGAGCACCAGCTCATCAGGACTGACAGAAATTTGAAACTGAATTGTTATAGTTTTCTTCTGAAATCTTTACCAAGTAGTAAATGGTTGGGAAGGGCTCATGTCAAGTACCCTCCCAACTCACCCTGCTGTGAGGGCACCTGTATCTATTGTACATTTTCTTTGGAATTTAAAAAAAAGATGTGTTAGGACATATTTTATAAAACTTTTCTGCAATAAATGATGCATGAGATGAGGAGAGACTGTACGAAGTGTACATGGCAAGGAACCACTTGAATTATAGTATGAAGAATCACTGCAAATAACTGGTATTTTTTATGCGACAGTCACATTGATGTTTAACAGGCCCCAGTGATGGAGCCAATTGCCTGGAAATTTACTGTAACCTTTGTTTTAACTTTCTCGTTGCATTTTCCATTCTACAAGACTTAGTTAGTATTAGTGCAGGTGTTAGCAGAGCTGTGACCTGTGATTAAAAGCATGTCCAAAACCAGCTGTATCGTAAAATACGAACAGTCCTGCTATGAGACCAATGTTTCCTATAGAGATGATGGGCAGGATGACAACAGCAACTTCCATGCATCTCTAAATTACGGGAAAATTGCTTCCCTGTGAATATGGTTGTAGTTTCTTTATGCTGATGTAACATTTTGGGAATTGAGGATTGTTGGAAATGTATCATGAGGGGCTACATCACTGATAGTATATAGTCAGTTAGATTTCCTTATGGTAGTGTAACAATACAGAGCCAAGAATGGATACTGCTTAGATGAGAGGCCAGTCATTTGCCAAGTAATGAGTTTATTTCATCTTCCTGCACAAAATTTTTCTCATACAGGTAGCTGGTATACCAAGGGTTTCCATTAGGATTTCTTGTGGTAGTTGATCTGCATAGCATTGACTACTTTGAATAGCCTCATGTTGAAATGAGAACATGTAATACTTTATCTTTCTTGCAAAAGTTGTTTGGTAACAATTATTTCAGCTGAAGCTACTGAGTGCTGAGAACAATGCTGAAATATTGGCTTGCCAGATAATTTATTTGCTACTGATTTGTGTGCACATTTTCTTGACAGAATAGCTCTTAAAACTCTTCTTAATGTTAGTAAGGGATTCAGGGGATACCAAAGTGGGAAAGTACATATTTGTTTTGGAGAAGAGAAAATGTGCACGTAATATTAAGACCTAATAAAGTACAAGTTCCTGTTTCCATGGAAAAACAAAGTCTTGTACTAACCTCTCTTCCTACTTGTGTTTTGATCTCACTGGGGAATGTAAAATATCTTTGTCCAGGGGATTTGAAGAGAGAGCACCTTTCTTGATAGGTATATCTTCTAGCACAAAGAGGATTTTATAACCTCCATGAATGGGGTATGAATTAAATACATTAATTAAACACAGTACCCATAATTGTATATAATTTCCCTTGGCTTTAGTATTTGGCAATACAACAAATTCATATTTTTAATGGAATGGGGGCATAATAATCCAGACCCATAAATACTATATTGGTGGTACATGTGACCTAAAACAATTCTATATTAGCGGTTTAGTACTTTTTCTAGTTCTATTAGCAGTGACTGATAAATTTATTTATTAAAAACAGAAACTGAAACCATATCATCTAATATTTTTCAAAAAAACTATGTTAGTTCCATGTTCAAGCTGTGTACCACTTTTCAAGTTGTGCCACTTCTCATAATAAACTGCAGATTAATTTTTAAATTGAGATTAGTAATTATTGATCTGCAGTATTCTGCCTTTCTGGTGTAGTCAAAACAGAGGGTCAGCAGTCTAGACCTGCACCACAGCCTGAAATTTGACTCAGAATCAAGGCAACTTGCTCTTGGAGAGAGAGAGGGAAAGGTGGTACAGTGAGTTAATGTGCTATCCTTTTACCTCTGGAGAGCAAAAGCTGATTGTATTACAGATGAATGGGGGTCTCATCCCTATTAAAGGAATCACTTTTATCTTCTTTTCCTTTTTTTTCTTTAAAAAAAAAAGAAGACAATATGGCACAATTTCTGCTCAGGAAAAAGGCCCAGGACTGTAATGGCAGGGTTATTGCATGTTGGGATTGAAAAATGATTGATGTTATTTATGAAAGCCAGTAGTGCCTGCCTATCTGACTCTTAACCAGTGCTCTTATTCCCTCATCTTCAAAAGCGCTGGCACACACTACTTAAAATGTACAAAATGCTTGAGAGAGAGGTGTGCAGGTCTCTGCATTTGAGAATATGGGTAAAGTAAGCAAATAGCATAAAAATAGACTAGGTAGCTAACCATATTTGCTCATGAAAAATGAGTTTATTTTCATGGGAAGTATTGTAGCCATTTTGTTTGAAACCAGATTTTCATTTTGAAATGAAATTGTCAGGGATATTTTAATGATACAGAATTACAGTAATGTATTGCTTTTCACTTTTTGACTTTAGTTGCTTAATATTTAAGCTTTGCTCCATGCTACCTTTTTGTCTGTATATTGAATGGTCACTATGCCTCCTTCATTTTGTAGACTTGAATGAGGAAAAAAATATGATTCCCCTTTAAGGTTTGCTCAAGAAGTAAATGTTAAAAGAATGTTGTGTAACATTTATTCAAATAAAGCCTTGATTTTTTTTCAGCACTTTTTAAAGGGTAGTTGTGTTGAAAACATTTATCTGCTGTTATATTCCACCACCCATCTCCTTAACCTCATTGATTGAATCTCATGTATTTATATTTTCTGAACTGATGCAAGGGTGAAACCTAGGATACAGCTCTGCTGCTCTTGGTGCATCTTCAGACAGACTTGGCTAATGCTATGTAACCTTGAATTCAAGCTATTGTGGCTAAAATGTGTTAAGTGTTCCTTGACCAACTGGAAGCTTTCCAGAAGAAATGAGAACACCCCTGCTCCTTCATAATAACAAGGAAAGAGATGGTGGACCAGGGAAAAGCAAATATAAAAGGAAAAAAAAAAAGAGGATGGATCTGCTCTATAGCTTCAGTGAAGGAGCACTGGTAGCAGCTCAGGAAGGGAAGCACTCAGTGGTCGGTGCAACAGAGGTTCTGCTCTGTGCCTTTGGCATTACTACAAATATAGAAAGTGGTGTAAGAGCTCTGTGCACTCAGGAATCTCATCTTCTGGTGGCTAGCTAAAGTCTGTGGTTCCACTTTGGGTGGCACAAAACACCCGGGACACCAGGAAGAGCTGGGCTTTGAACTCAAGCTCTGCATGTTGATCTACCACTGGGATCCCACTATGACTGTTTTTTGTTTGTGATAGTAATGACTTCAGACACATGCATCCATCCCAGGTAAGTGTAATGGAATATTTCTCCATTTAAATAGAAAACAGTTGCATTTGCTCATAATTTTGCCCTACAGGGAGGAGAACATGGTATGTTGCAATGGATAAAGAGCACAGAATCTCTAGCACTAGGATGAAAGTAGGGTCAGGTTGCTGCATATTTCTACAATTGGTAGCATCCACGCTGCATTGCCTGGTAAAAGAAAAAAAAAATTGCTACTTTCAATTTCTACAAATGAAGTCTGTCATTGTTAACGAAACGATGTCCCAATTTTATCTAAGTGTCCAAGTTTATTAAATATAAGCAGGCTTTTTAGAGATGTCCCCTACTGTGTTCAGAAATACTTATTAAGCATGCTAATCCTAAATGAGCACATCCCTCTTTATGCTAGGGACAGAAGTTGCACATAACCTGGTCTAAGTCATCAGAAACTGGTTTAAACCTGTAACAGAACAGAAGTTTAGTGCATATAAACCAGTTTCAAAATGGCTGAAACTGGGTTAAGATAACCCTGGTTGAATGTAGTGTCAGACTTAACTTATTTGTGTCAAACCGGTTTGGGAAACTTCTGTCCTAGACCGCTTCCTTGTTCAAGTTAAATCAGTCTCCCAGCATGCTTTCCAGCCCTGGGCTGGGCTGTGCTGTTTGCTCTAGAAAGCAGGGATGGCCTCACCCCTCTGTTCCCTAGGCTGGAGCAGTAAGGGCTGGCTGACAGAGGAGGAGAGGGGGGACAAGCCCAGCTGGGGTTGCAGCCCAGTCTATGGGGAGGGGGAACGCTCCCCCGCAAATCCCGGCTGGGGTCAGGGAGGGGGGGTTAAACACCCCTTCCCCTGCTCAAACTTACTGCTGGCTGCAACTGTAGACTACAAATCTTAGAGGCACCTGGAAGCAGGAAGAAGTCGTGAGCAACCCTGCAGAGTCCTGCTGTTGTAATTCTGGATTGCAAATCCCTGAGACCTCTGGGGCAGCAGGAAGAGGAAGTAAACACACAGCCAGATAGCCATGCTCTGGCCCCCCGCAGCTTCTGGTCTGAGCCACTGCTGGCATGTGGCTGCGTTTCCTGAATAAAAGGTAAATGTCTGTTCATTTCTATTTCAATTTAATCTGTGCAGTTTAGAATAACCAGCAAAGACTGAATCAATTCAGCCTCCAGGCTTTCTGACTGTCTGTACCTAGTCTTTAGGTCATGTGTGATTTGCCTGAAGGTCGGTTGCTTTAGTACTGCCTATCGTGCAGTAATATGTAGCTGGTAACTAGAAGAGAGTAGAGTTGAACCAAGCTCTTTTGCTAGGTACTAACCTTATTCGTTGGAGTTAAATGATAGTGCAGATGTACCCAATCTGGAATAAAGATACTTGGCATCTATTTCCCTTCATTTTATCATGACCATTTTCTTGCTCACTTTCATTTTGAAGCTCATCAGTGCTTCTCTACCCATGTCTCTTGTTTGGTAGCTGGTGCCTTTTCCTTTATGTATGAAAAATGTTAAAGTTCTGTTTTGAGGAACTCCAGTCTTCTTCCTCCTCTCATTAGTCATTCATTCTTGCAGCAGTCCTTCCTAAATTGGCTGGCCTCATTAGGCTTATGGTGGAGAGGGGAAATCCTGCTCAAATGTAATTGCTCACTAATAACTTCTCGTCTATGACATTGTGTCTGTAGCTTCTCATCATGGGAATCGCCTGATTTTGCTATGTGGGTATGGAGCCCATGAGAGTGGTTAACTACACATATTTCAAGGAAGTCTACAGTTGTTATACTGATTAATCTTCACTACAGCAGCACCATAATGAAGGTATAAAAGTAACACCATCCCTGCCAATGTTGAAATCTCCCAAACCTTTGCATTCAAGAATGCTAAGTGTTTACTGCTCTCTGAAGCATCAGCAAGGTGATACTTAATAAGGGCAAAGTCATGTGTGTAACAGCTGCTTAATGCACAACCTGAGGTAGGAAGATTTTATTTCTGGCTATCTAAAAGGTGGAAAGCAAGTCAGAGGGGGTAAAATGTCCTCTCAGGTACAGTGTGTAGTGGTGAAAGAAAGGATTGGTTCTATCCTGGGCCAGTCCTAGGGAAACAAGCAACAGTGATAGAAAGAATAAGGCTATTGCATGAGTGCCATGCTCCCAAATTCCAGTTCATCCAAGTGAATGGCTAGGCAAGAATTGCAGAGTGGAAGTCTTCTCCCAGAACCTCAGCTACAACCTCACAGGAGACCAATGAGGTATAAAAAGCTTTGCTTTACTTTCATGTATTCCTTAACTGGGGCTGGGCTGGTTTCTCAGTGTAAGTTAGTCTTCTAGCTGCCAACTGCTCCCTGGCAGCTATTTATGCAGACTGAGGGCTGCAGAGAGATATAAAGGCCATTTTGGCACCTCCTTTTCCTTAGCTATGCTCTCTGAAGTAGCACATAAGCTGCTACCTGTACTTTGCTTTGGAAAGAATAGCTTGAGAGATGTGTGGCAATTCTCCCACAGTTAGCGAGGGTGAATTTGGGGCCAAATGCAACCGAGAACTTGCCGTCTGGCAAAGAACTGCACAATCTGTCAGACAACAAACAAGTGCAGAAGGACACTGAGAATGTCAGCAGCATTGCAAAGCAGTGTCAGCAGAGCCCCAAGCAGCTGCTGGAAAGGTGACAGACCCCTGTGAACACTGCTTGGGTGTTAGCTGCCAATCCTGCTTTTTTCTTTTTTTCCTTCCCTTACTCGCTTGCCCTCCCTGAAGCTTTTAAAAATGGATTTGTCAGTCTCCTCCCCACTTATCTCATCAAGCAGGAAGACTGTATGTAATCATGGCTGTTGAAAGGAAGTAAATGGAGAGATACAGTGCACTTGCATGTCACCAGCAAAGGGAGCAAGCCGATTTCCTCTTTCAGGCCAAGTGCTGGCAGTTGTAGTATCTTAACTGCTTTCTGCAGCCTGCTTTGCAGTTCTGTGCATGCCTGTTCCCTATCCCTTGGGGCTTCAGTTTTCTCATCCTGACTTACTCCCTGCAAACTCCCAGTCCAACCTGAAATGCAAGGAGTGGTCTCTCCAAAGGGTCAGCTTAAACCTGCAGTGGGGAACACAGGTGACTGTTTTGTTGTGAGATGAATTGTCAGAGCCCAGGATTGGTTGTAATTATGAAATGCAGCTGGGGCTCTGACTTATGCAGAGGGCTTTGTTTTCAAAATGCAGGCATCTCAGTAGCTCTGATATCTAGCTGCTGCTGCTCTGCCTGCTAGTTGCTAAATCCCAGTGTTCTTCCAATGAGCTGACCCAGAGACAAGTAGGGAA